ATAAGGGAGATAATTTGAAACTCAAAGTTTTAGACATGAATGTTAAAATTGTTTTTACATACAGCTGGGAAATAAGATATGCAGGCAAAGGGGTATAGAAATCTATTCTGCCCTACAGAAAAATAGAAAGGGCAGGGGATAAGAGAAGCAGAGGTGATATAGGGAGGGTGGATTGGGGAAGGGATATTTAGAATGCATGTCATGTTGAGGTGGGAGAAGGGGAGAGATGGGGAGAAAATTTGGATGTCAAAATCTTGTGGAAGTGAATGTTGAAAACTAAAAATTAATTAATCAATTTTTAAAAAAGACTGAATTTGAACTCAGGTCTTCCTGACTCCAGGCCCAGCACTCTATCCACCAAGCCACCTAGGTTGAAGATGCCAAAATGTTTGGAGTGAATGGTTGAAAAAAGAGAGACTGGGATACAACTTAGGAGAACATTGAGGGGTCAGGAAGAGGAAAGTGAAGCATTAAATGAGACAGAAAAGGAGCAGTTAGAAGAGTAAGGGGGAAATCAGGAGAACTCAGTGATGGGGACATCCAAAAAGAGGATTTGGTTATTGGTGATATATGCTGCATATAGGTTGAGAAGGACCTGGACCAACAAAAGCCCATTGTATTTGATTATTAGGTGGTCTCCATTGGCCACCTATGAGAAGAAAGTTTCAATGGGGTGCTAGGAGTTTAAGCCACATTACAAGTTAGGAAGAGACAGGGTGAGCAGGAAAAAGCATCAGTTTTGGACAGTTTTTCCCCAGGAATTTAGTTGTAAAGGGTAAAGGGAGAGGTGGGATAGTTTATGGGTAAAATAGGAGGGTCAAGAGATGACTTTTTTAGATTTCAGCAGATTGAAACTTATTTTTAGGCAGCTAGAAGGATGCAAGTAGGAAGAGAGAAGATGACAAGGAGGGAGTTCTGGGGAAATGAAGGATTTAGAGGTCGCAAGGAAGATGACCTCATCAATAGGGATAGAGACTGCACCTGTGATTTCATTGATATAGGGACCTCCAAGATGAGGAAGCTCCCTTTACTAATGTAGGTCAATGTATTTCTATAGCTTATCATATTAGGAGTTCTTTCATTTTATGGCAGAGTTCATCCCATTAACATTTAGTTATGATTACTAACTGTATCTTTCTCTCCATCCTATTTCCCTCCATTTATGCTTTTCTCTCTCTTTTCTCCCTTTCTCTTCCTCACTAGTGTTTTGCTTCTGACCACTGCCGACCTCATTCTTCCCTCCCTTCTATCAACCCCCCTCCCTTTTCTTTCTCCTTTCTTCTACTACTTCCTATAGGGTAAGACAGATTTCTACACCCAATTGAGTGCTTATGTTATTCCCTCTTTGAGCTAAATCTGAGAAGAGTAAGGTTGAAACAATGCTTGCCTTCCTCGCTTCTTTCCCTCTACTGTAATAGTTCTTTATGTCTCTTCATGTACTGTAATTCATACTTTTCTGCCTCCTCATTTACAATCCCTTTTTTCCCTCCCTGTACAATCCTTTTTTTACCTCTTAATTAATTTTCATCATTACATCAAAGTCAATGCCCTTTTCTATGTGTATTTCTTCTAAATGTCATAATAAACATGCAGTTCTCAAGAATTACAACTATCATCTTCCCATGTAGGGATTTAAACAGTTTAACCTTATTGAATATAATTTTTTTCTTTTCTGTTTACCTTTTTCTGCTTCTCTTGAGTCTTATGTTTGAAGCTCGAATTTTCTATTCAGCTCTGT